ATGTGTGTGTGTGTGTGTGTGTATAAACATATACACATGCGTGTTTACGTACATTTAAACATTCAAATTTGTATACAAGTATTACAAAGCACGTATACTGATGGTTCTGTGCCACGTCTACCTCCTTGCAGTTTATACGAACTCTGCGACTGCTTGAATCTTCGGCTGCGCATCGCACTGTGTGGGCTTTGGTTGCGGAGAGGCTGCGTACGATCTCGGTACAAGCAGATACATTGGAAGTATTATCATATACGCAAAAGCATAGTACAACACCACAGAAACACTCACACAACGGCTTTCTACAGCCAGCTATACATAGTGGACCATCTCACACTCACACGCACACACCCAGTGGTGTGATACAGCAGGAGCCACAGTTTAGAATATCATGTGGGCACCATCACGATAGCGTACCACACACATCCACACACACTGAATCATTACAATCAGAAGCACGTGGTGAACCGTCACACAAACATGCACACAAGGACGCACAGCCGACTACACTCAGTGCGGATATACCGCCCCCGTCAATGGCACATGCGACTACCTCAGAGTTCACACCGTCACAGTCACCGTACCGGCCAGCAAGCCCTCAAGCTGTATTGCCAGACAACGACAACGGCAGTGTGCCTGTGTACGCTGATGTAGGTAATGGGGAGCAAGATCGCACATGTACACGCATAGACCCTACACCTCCCTTTCCGCGCATACACATACAGCAGCCGTGTTCGGTGAAAGGTGTATCCACTGGTGGCGTGCTAGGCGATGGGGTGCCCGCAGACGTACCACAACACACTGTGGATAAACAGATTATCAATCGGAACACAGCCACGTCTAGCGGAGATGGCAGCAGTGTAGACGTCGATGATATCAGGTATGTCGTGGACTACGCAAGACAGACCGAAGGCGATTATTCAAGTATCGGTGTAGCAGGTTCAAGTACCGTTGTATTGAGTTCAGGTATTGGTACAGAATGTCCAAGTTCCACTTTATCGGGTTCGAGGGCCGGTATTTCAAGTTCGAGTTTTGGTCCAAGTACCGCTGTAGTAAGTCCAAATACCGATGTAGTAGGTTCAAGGAGCGGCATAATGGGTCCAGATGCCGGTATAGGCGATCTGGACATCACCGGTATAGGATATGTGGGTGATAGTACGTCAGCCACAAGTACGAGGCCGGGGGGTGGTGTGACAATGGGGATTACAAAAGAACAGGCCATCGCTGAAGGAGCGCTGAGCTGTGATTCCGGGATGTCAGATTATTCTGATCTGGAGGAGGACGCGTTCGAGATTGCCGATACTTCGGTGGCTACGTCTGATGTACGGCTAAAGAATACGACAAATGTGACAGATAGTAGTATCAATAGGAGTGATGTGGGTGCACATGCTGGATTAGATGGTGAAATGAACGAAACTGGCGGCGTGAAAATTCGTAGATGTGGTGTAGAATCCGACAATGAGGTTGATAAGGAGGAGGAGATGTTCTGGAGTAACCTTGGAGAAGCTTGGGATAGCGTTATAATCGACCATAGCTTATTAGAGGGGATGGATGCGGACTTCCAATCGAGCCCCAAGAGGGTATGTATGTACGAAAAGGGTGTGTGTACGAAGATAGCAAGCATCTACGAAATGAGTACGTCTATACGAAGTAGATATGCATGTACGAAAAGCGTCTGTATATCAGAAAGGGATGTATGTATAAAAGGGGTGTGTGTGTGTACGTAAAGAGTAAATGTGTATGTCTATACGGAACAGACTGTAAGTACGAAAGCAATTTGTATATACAGACAGCGTAAGCATGTATCACAAGGGGTGTGTGTATACTAATAGAGTGTATAAATGGCAAAGGGACCTGTGTGTACATCGAAAGATCGTGCGTGATTGGCCAGTGCTGCCAAGTAGCTATGGCTGTCTAAGCGGTACGCTACATGACGTTGAAATGTGTGTGTGCGTCTCATGGCGTTGTATCGTGTGTGTCTCTTGACGTAGTGGATTTAATGCAAAAATGTACACCATGTACACACACACACACACACACACACACACACACACACATATATATATATATATATATATATATATCATATGTTTACACATACGTGTATATACATATCATAAGCTAGCACGTACGTATATATACATATCCATTTGTTAACCCGTACACGTATCATGTCATACCAGTCCAGAACTACACATACCTGCTGTTCTACAGCATGTAACTGGTGATCTAGCCCTCTTAGAGTGTGTGTAGGATATGCATGCTTTTGTACACGTGATGCATCGACTTTGCTCGTGTGTATCCTGATACGTTGTTTATAGTATAATAATATAATAATATAACAATGTATCAATATATATACGTATATATAGACAGCCTTTGCGATTTAAAATCGGGGCTGCAACATCCGCTATACACGGAAAACTGTTCTTGCACTGCTTGGTTGTGTTTCTCGGTGTATACTTCTGAAGACACCACGCGTTCAGGGTAGTAGGGTGCAGGTTCTAGGATTAGAGTTTGAGGTTTAGCAACGCGTTTCTGGCCAAAGCACAACGTGTTGTATCTGCTTCTTAGTGTGCCCCTCTTTCGCTGGCACGTCTTCATTCTGCGCCACTTATAGCATTGAAAGTATAAAGTATGTTTCGGGGGGTTGCTAATCGAGTTTTGGGGGGTAGCTATCTAGTTTGAGGAGGGGGGGGGGAGAGTTTATGGCAGAGACATCGTACAAACTTCCGTTTATATATTTGGATTCCATCTATCTAGTTTTAGGGGGTAGCTATCTATTGCTAGCCCAAGTAAAATAGATTTGTACCGCATGTGCACACGCTAGTATCAGCAGTACATTTATCAGGAGTATTCGAGAGGGGGTGGGACTTGCAAGGCGGTGAAATATGGTTTGCACAAACACAGTACTACGAAAGCGGGGCAATGTTTCTATTTGTGTTCGTGAATTTGTGGAAAAAGAACGCATACAACGGCATTAATTCACACCTCAAACAAAACTATGTATGATACAAGTACTAGATATCTGCTATTCATAAGGATACCGGCAGATTTCTCTCGAGCACCCGTATACATATTGACCAGCTTTCCTCTTCACCAATTGCGATGAGCGAATACACCAAAATCTGAAACCCTAATAACGTCGTCCCATACTTAACAAATAGGAGGCAGAGATGATTGGCATTTTTTTTTTTAATACAGATCCAGATATGTATACAAATCTGATGTGCGCATCCGATAACTATGCTGTCGTAATCTGATTTTCGGATTCCTTCACAAAAACAGGAAGCTGAAAAGATGTCGACACTCTTTGGAACAGATCCGGCTATTCACCACCGCCCCGGTCGTAGGCGGAAGTTCAGTCGTGCTACAAGGTTACTGTACGACTAAATGGCTAATTGTGATTTATAATCTATAACAATGATCAATAAATACTAGTATAATTTGTATGTAGTATTGTAAGAAATAATGGTAGTCAGCATCTATAGCAATAAATATTTAATGAATACTTGGTATAATTCATATAGTATTGTAGCAAATAGTGGTATTAGCATTTATATATCAATTCGTTTTTTATCTATTTACTTCGTTAATTCGCACGTAGTAATGTAGGACATAGTGACATCCATTGCACACTTCAGTGATGTAACATGCACACTTGAGTGATGTAACTTGCACACTCAAGTGATGTGATGTAACGTGCACACTTAAGTGATGTAACATATCAGATGTACATGTGGAGGTTTAGCTATCCATTTGCATTCTGATGTGTGGCTAGGGAACTCGCTCAAACGTTCACCTCGATATATTTGCAAAGTGAACAACTACAATCTTAACATGAACTCAATTTGTAGGGACAATTGTATTTCGATTGATATATCTGTAAGTACATGTATATGCCAAACCTTTGAATAGTACATTATGCTGCCAATCTACACACAACCGCGACATATATGGTAAATTTGAAAGTATGTAAACAAAAAAATAAGCATGAGTTGATACCAATTGTCGCTTTTGCGTATTTTGGGCAAGTTCATTTGTCGTGAACTAGCAACACCGCCTCTGCACATATCTGTACTTTTATTAATAGAATAGGTACCACGCTCATCGCCGGAACTGATCTATAAGTACCTAGGAGAGTTCACCATGTCTATACGTTTGCAGGTAAAATAAACCCAAACAGATCGCTAAAACTGGGGCAAATTTTCTAAAGGGATACAATTTAACCATTTTCGAACGTATACATCACATTTACCAGGTAGCCAAATCTCAGAAAGAAAATTTGGTGTAACTGACATGCGGTAAAAGACCTTAGGTACACTAATGTCTGCACATATGTGTATAATATATATGTTTCTGTTGTTCTTTATTTACAACATCAAAATATACAACATACGTACAAGACCACGAATGCATAATATATACACACATACAATATATAATGGTAAATAGATAAGTATGTAGATAATTCATAACTCACTGTGCGCAATACGGATCCATAGCACCTTTTGTATTTGATATATTTTTCATCCATGTATGAATATGTACGTATATATATATATATATATATATATATATATATATATATATATATATATATATGTGTGTGTGTGTATATATATATATATATATATATATATATATATATAGTATATATAGTATATATATATATATATATATATATATATATATNTTTTATATATATATATATATAACTAATAATAATAATAAGTAGTAGTAGTACTAAGTATATAT